AAAAAAAAAAGTGATTCTTTCAATGTCTCGTCATTATTTGTTACATACTTAGTTACTTCCAACTGTGTATGTATAACATAAGATTATTACTTCAACATATTTACAACCTATTCGTCCTAGAGATAAGATTTGAACATTACATATTTATATGTGTACGATATGATGATGTCATACATATGAGAGAAGAGAGAGAGAAAGATAAACCTTGGATAATGGTTAATGGCATCGAAGGAATTGAATTGTAGTTGTACAACATTGAACCTGTCGGTCTCGGATGATTTGAAAAGATCACGTCAATATATGTACCATTTGTTTAATCATATGTTAGAGAATGATTATACAATGTATCGTGAAGATGTTTACATATACATTCTATAAACGTGTATGTCTGTATATAATATACATATGCATGAATGACGAGGTACATCAACTTGGTCATTCTTTTTTACTTTTATATAAATTCAATAAGAAAAAAGAAAGTGTTACGTCATCACTATCATCATTATCATTAACTTTAATCTATAAAAATTTTACAAAAGCAAAAAATGTGAAAAGAAACGAACGAACGAACGAATGAATGAGCAGACAGACAGACAGATGTAAAAAATAGATAGGAATACAAGCTGTTGCGTTTGTCATACGATCAAATAAAATATAAAAAAAAAATCATTAGCACAAAACAATCTATACCCCCCTTACAATAACAGATATAGAACAATATAGACATTCACTAGAGTGTTTAAGATCAACATCAAGATAAGAAAAAGATCAGCATAATTTTACTATAATCTTATGACTTACTTATTTGTCATATCACGATATGATTATATGAAATAATAAAGCTTTTCAACATCTATATGTCAGACTTCAATCGATTAATAGTCCTATGATGACAATCTCGATCAAAAGACAATATATGTGATTGATACTTAATGTTGTGATATATAACACTGATTGTGGTTTAACTCATATAAAGACGCAGTCTGTCCTTAAAATGAGAGTTCGACATTGTCACACATGACATTGCCAATAGTTCCGATCAAGGATATTTATCTAGATAAATAAACATTATGATATTATAACAGATTGGTATTAATTTAATATGAGAATTATTTAGTTACTGAAAAACAGAAAAGATCAAGTAATCTACATAGTAAATATGTTGATGTCGCTCTATCTCACCTATTCATTTTTTTTTATTGTCACAGTCAATCTATTGATTCGTCAGTTAAAGCTTTCCAATATACTACTACTTTTTTTTTAATGATTCATTCATTCATTACACGAAATCTTTTCGTATGTCAATAATCAATAGTCGTATAAAATAAGACAAGGCGACTTAAATGACAGTGTCAAAGTTAGTACATCTGTCAAAATAATGGAAGATGACCTCTATGTCATATATTTATTTTATGACAAATAATCGATCTTGAACTGTGATAATTATTTACAGACATATTTTGTGGTTTATAGAAAAAAACCTTAAGTAAATAATTTTCATAGTAATTTTATCTCTAGATATGATATAAAATAGAAGAATGAATGTATAATGCCACGGAGATTTCGTCGAAAACGTGTACTAATTCTGTTCTTTCTATTTATTTTTATTATTTATGTAATTAATCAACGATTAGAAAATTCAATAGATGATAACAATGAATTACCTGATAAGAACAACATAATATATCAACGATTAAAAAAACCAATAGATGTTGAAAATAAAGTAGAAAGTTCATTTTTTGATTCATCAAAACATACAAAAATTGATTGGCATGATTATAATGCTATTGCTCGTGATAATGCTCGAACAGGTATTTCTAATCATATATATTTTTATAGACTTATGCTGTTTTATTAGGATTAGGTGAAGGTGGTACCGGTGTTGAACCTAGTCAACAAGAACGAAATAGTCCACAATTTCAAAAACTATATCGAGAAAATGGATTCCATGCTTTTATATCTGATAATATTTCACTTGATCGTTCAGCTAAAGATATTCGTCATCCAGAGTAAAAATCTTAAAAAAAAAATTTATTTTTCTAAATTCTTTTTTTTATTCAGTTGTAAAAACAAATTATATTTAGCTGAATTACCATCTGTAAGTATCATAATTTTTTTTTAGAAATAAATTCAAATGTTTTTTTTATAAATAGGTTAGTATAATTATTCCAGTTCATGATGAACATTTAACAACATTACTTCGATCTGTTCATAGTATATTAAATCGAACACCAGAAAAACTTCTTAAAGAAATTCTACTTGTTGATGATGCTAGTAGTAAAGGTATAAATTCATATTAAAATGAATAATTTTGTTCATTTGTTTTTTTACAGATAGTTTAAAATCTCCGCTTGATACTCAGGTTGCTAATTTATCAAAAACTCGAGTTGTTCGTCTTAAAAAACGTGAAGGTCTTATTCGTGCACGATTAGCAGGTGCACGAGAAGCTAAAGCTGATATTCTTATATTTTTTGATTCACATATTGAAGTAAATATTAATTGGTTACCACCATTAATTGAACCTATTGCATTGAATTATAAAACAAGTGTTTGTCCATTCATTGATATTATTAAATGGGAAACATTTGCATATATTGCACAAGATGAAGGTTTGAAAAAAGATTATTACAAAATTATATATATTGAATATTTTTAGGTGCTCGTGGTGCATTCGATTGGGGGATGTTTTATAAACGATTACCGTTATTACCTTCAAGTCAAGGAAATGCATCAGAACCATTTGAGTACGATTAAAATTTGAGTATTTAAAAAAAAACGATTCTTTTAATTATAGTAATCCAGTCATGGCTGGTGGTCTTTTTGCAATAAGTCAAAAATGGTTTTGGGAATTAGGTGGTTATGATGAAGGTCTTGATGTATGGGGTGGTGAACAATATGAAATGTCATTTAAAATCTGGCAATGTGGTGGGCGTCTTGTTGATGCACCATGCTCAAGAGTTGGACATATCTATCGACAATTTAATCCACATGGAGGTTTTAGTTTTGGTGATTATTTATCTCGAGTATGCGCATATATAGAATATTTGAATTTTTTTTAGTCTTCTTTTCTTTCATTATAGAATCATAAAAGAGTTGCAGTAGTTTGGATGGATGAATATGCAGAATATATTTACAAACGAAATCCACAAATAAAGTAACAACACTTGTCTTTTCAATTTAAACTTCAAAAAATTCTTATTTGTTTTCTTGTAGAAATGTAAATGCAGGTGATGTTACAAAACAAAAAGCATTACGAGAAAAACTTCAATGTAAATCATTTAAATGGTATAGTCTTAGAATTTTATTCTCGGAGATATATGAAAATATATATGAATAGGTTTATGGAAAAAGTTGCATTTGATTTGCCGGAATATTATCCACCAATTCCATTACCTCCATTTGCTCAAGGAGAAGTAAATAATAGATGATTATTCTAGATTTTAATAGTTATTGTTTAAATTTATTTAGATTCGAAGTATGGCTGCTTCTTTATGTATAGATACTAAACATGGAGGAGAACAAGCAACATTTGGTCTTGAACAATGTATCAAAGATCAACCGGACAAAAATGGTGAACAAGTACGATAAATTCGTAATTCTTTTTTTTAGAAATATTTTTATTTTCCAGGAATTTGAATTGAGTTGGCGACAAGATATTCGTGTAAAAAATCGTGACTTTTGCTTTGATGTACCTAACAGAGAAAAGCGTGCACCAGTTATACTATATAAATGTCATAGTACGTATAAACTGTTATCGTTTTCTTTCTGTATCGATTTTATTTTCTAGATATGCGTGGTAATCAACATTTTGTTTACGATGTATCTAATTTTCATATTTTACATGTTGCAACACATTTGTGTTTGGGTTGTGATGTAGATAGTAAAATGATTTTTATGGAAGAATGTGACGCAGAACGTAAGACTCAAAAATGGAAATTTGCTTCATACAATCAAACATTAATTCTCAAGGAAATGAATAAGTTTTTTTAAAATTATAAAAAAAGAATTTTTTTACAAATGCTCTCTGTGATATTTTTAAGTAAAATATAATAAATTGCTATGCACAACAACCTTTCTAAAAAAAACGTATTTCATTTGGGCTCCGTTACATATCAGTCTCAATCTTAATTACTGGTGATGTTGAACATTTCTCCGAATGAAGAGAGCTAGCGGCATCTTCATTTCTTATCAACTTATTGATTATATATAATACTGTTGAGTTAATCCCAATTCTATTGAAATGTGAAAGACTGATACATTTCATTTATTCTTTAAAGCATCTTCAGGAATATGTTCATTTTACTCTTCATTGATTTCTGTATGAACGCAACATCGTATCAATTGTATATCTCTTTCGAACAAATTTCATTCGTATATTAAAAATAATACAGTGCCATGTTGCAAAATATCTCTTTTCATTATCATATAAATAAAATCAATTGATAGGGATAATTGATTCTATTGTTTATTGAACTTTAATTGTCAAAGAAAAATTTGATTTTCACTTATTTTTATCCTTATTCGATTTTTTTTCCATAAAAGATTCATTCATCCATGAAAACAACATCCTAACTAGATATGCCACTTGTTTCGTATGTATGTATGTATATATATACATGAATCTTAAGTGGAAACTTAATCTATTAAACGCCGCCTACTAGTCAATTGCTTCCGGCTGTCTGGTCTCGCTTATGCACACGTTTCTGACTTTATCGATCGATTGAGGTAACTGTTTTTCATATTCATTCTAACATGACAACATCCATCTGTCAACAATATAGATGGACGATCGGTGGTCATTCGCATTTTCTTTTTTTGTTTGATTCTATTTTTATCTCTCAGGAGAGTTTCGAATGGCTGTTCATGAATTAATGTTATAAATATGAAATGAGATCGACGGACACTGGACTAAAATGATCGCATGTCTCCGTCTGCCTACATTAACACTCTCATTCGTCGTCGTCGTCGTCGTTGTCGTCATCGTTGTCTATAATCAAACTAGTTCAAAGCATGCGCATACACATGTATAGAACTAAAATTCAGTTAGCTTTCTCTTTTTCTTTTTTTATTTATGGAAATCGCCTCATCATATGGATCATTCTTTCTTTCTTTTTTGACATATAAAAAGAGTCAAATAGGCTTGATTAAAGAAAGAAAAAAAAATCTATCTATTGCTGTAGGGGGTGTCAACAATATCAAGACACACACTAACAATTCGTCTGTCTATAGAAAAGCTAATTATCCGAGGGTATTGCACCGGCTGTTCAACGATTTTCTCATTAATAAAAAAGAAAGAATTGTTCATAAAATACGATATGTTCATTCATTATTTGTTTGATATAAAACAAAAAAGAGAAGAACTAATTAAGAATAAAAATGAAGATGAAGATGAAGAAAGAAAAATGATGACTATTATCATTCTTATATTATTATCCCATACACAACAACTATTATTATTATTGTATGTTTTTTTTTGTACAATACTTTTTAAAAAAGTGAACAGAAAAGAGAGAGAAAAAAAAAGTTGCATTTAGATAATTAAAGCCACACACACACAAAGTTATATGCACGCAATACGACAAAATAAATATTATAGATGAAGTGAAGAGAAAAGAAAAAAAACAAATTGAATAGAAATAGATATGTTTTATTTATTAATTGGAGTTTGTCCATAAGGTGTAACTGTTTGTGATGAAGTAAGTGCTGATGATGCAGAACTTAAGGTACCAAATGGACCAATAGTACTAAATGCTGATGACATTAAATTAGTCATTCCTAAATAGAATAATTTCAATTTTTATAAAATAATCGTGAGAATACTAATAATAATAATAATAAAATAACAAAAATACAAAAGCTTAATACATTGATGAACATGTTGATGATGATGAATTTGAATTAGTAAATAGATTATTCCAATTTTGATGATTAGGACTTTTGAAAGCACTTTCATGCTGCTGATGACATACGAAGGATAAACCATTTTGACGATTAACTACATACACATACATACAAATCAAACATAGAGACAACACAAACATGCATATACAAATATGACTAACCATTTAGAAAACCAGGTGATGGAACACCATACGATGATGCCGATGGTCCATAAGCATTGCTATAAGCACTATAACTTCGTGGTGACATAGGTGCAGTTTGATTTCGTGAATAACCTAAAACGATGAGATCAAATTTTAGGAAAATTAGAATGGATATAAATTAATAGTTTCTTTTCATAAGATTCTCCTTAAATAATAAACAAGACTCGCATGCATAATAATTTATCGTTTGCACATGTTAAAAAAAATATATCACATAACAAGCAATAGCATAATCCCTTAAATCATTCTCTTATACCTTCTAATGATGATATATAATATGCTGAAAGAAGATTGATAACGAACATAGAAATATTTTTTTT